TATAAGTATTATCTATTATTAATTTTTATTTATTATATTATTAATTTTATATAATATTAAATTATTATTTAAAGATACTATTTCTATTCTGTATTTTTAATAATAATAATAATAATATTAATAAAGAATAAGTTTAAATATAATAATATTATCTATCTTGAATTAGTTTTCTATATGAATTTTATTTTAAATTACATTATCATATATTTTGGATCTTTTGTGTGAATTTTTTTAATATATTTTATAATATAATTAGAAAGATTATAGAAATAATTATTTTATAGATCTTTTAAATAATAGATTTTTTATTTTTAATATTAATTAAATATAAATTATATTAATATATTCAAGTTTATTTAGATTTAATATAAAAATATCTTTATATATTTATAAAAGATTATATAGAGTATTTTGTTATTAATAATTAATTCTTTTTATTCTATTATTTTTTTAATATTTTTTTAATTTCTTTTTTATCTAGAAAATATACTTTTATTTCATTTTTTTTAATTGATTCAAATTCTTAAGTTTTACAAAATAATTCTTTAAGTTCTTTTTTAATATTTATAGGATGTATTTTATTAATTCAAATTAGTAATAAAAAAATTATTTAAGTAATTTATTTATTTAATCAAATTTTATAAGATTTATCTAAATTATTATACATATTATTTTAAGAAATAATAGTTAAAAAATTATCTAAAATATTCATTTTTATTAATTTAAATAAGTAAGTTATTATAATATTATAAGTATTTATATTTTGAAGTTAATAATTTATAATAATATTAATATTCTATAATAGATTTTCTCTAATTAAAAGTTTTTTGATAATAAATTTGCTAGAATTTTTCTTCTAATTTTTTCAGATAAGAGTATTAATTTTTAATTTATACTTCTTTTTTAAAGATTTTAATATTTTTGACTTTAGAAATTAAATTAATTTTTAAGAAAAAAACTTTTTCAAAGTTTATATTAGTAATTTATCTAGATAGATATAAATCTGAATTCAAGATTTATTAAATATCTAACAAAAAAAATTATAATCTTCTAAGTCTTGATTTTTTATCTTAAACTTATCATTAATAGTTTTATTTGAGAAGATTTCTAAATTATTATCACTATTTTTTAGTTAAACATGAAATAAAAATAAATTATAAATAATTAATTAAATAAGTTATATATAGTTAAACAGAATTAATTATCTTAATTTATATTTTTAAAAGATTACTAATTATAATTTAATAAGTAATAATAATTATAAATATGATAAATAAATAATAAAAAAAATAAATAAAAATAATAAGAAAATATTAATTATAAATCTAATTAAAAATATTATTAATTTAAATTTATAATTATGAAATATATAGTAATTATTTATATAATAATATATGAAATCCAATTAATTTAATATATAGATAATTATCTATATATTCAATATGAAATTAATTTTTAAGAAAAGTAATATAAAAGATAATCTATTATATAAATAACATAAAATAAAGATCTAATACTAAAAAAAATAATTTAATTAAAATTGTTATATATAGTATATATAATTATATAAGATTTATTATCTAATAATATCTAATTAATTAATTTTATTATATATAAAAAAATAAGAATTAATTATAAAAAAATTATTTATAATATTATTATTACTTATCTTATATCTGATATTATCAATTATATTAAAATTATATTAGAAATATGAAAAAATATATATTTTAAATATGATAATATTTTATTTTTTCTATTATAAATTAACTAATTTATTAAAGTTCTTTTATAATATGTTTAAAAGAATAATAATTAAAAAGTTTGATTTTATAGATATTATACTTGTTTTATAATATTTTTTTATTATAATTTTTTACTTATTAAATACTTATATTATATTAAAAATATATTATAAAATTATTAATCTTGATAGTAAAAGATAACTTAATTTTAAAAAAATTATTTTTAATTTCTATTAAAAATAAATTTTTATAATTAATCTTAATGACAAGATTCTGAAGAAAGTTTATAAATTTTTTTATTTTATTTAAAAATTAATTATAAGTAAGTTTATTACTATAAGTATAAGAATTATAAAAGAAAAATTATTATTAAATTTAATATTATTAGTATATTCTTATATATTCTTTTATTATTTACTTTCTGATTAATATATTCTCTTTTTAATTTTAATAAGTTACTAATAATTAATATTTGAAAGAAATTCTAATAAATATTTATAAAAATCAGTTTTAAAATATATAAGTATTATAAAATAATCAAAATATTTAAATCTATTCAAAATTAAATAAAAAGAAAAATAAAAATATAAAAATTACAAATAGGTAAGCTTTTAGAAAGAATATAAAATAAGTATTAAGAAATTAAGAATAAAAATAATAATTATATATTTAAATAAGTTATTAAATTTAATTTTTAAAATTATAATATAATAGCTTATTATTTTATAAGTTAATTAATTCTATAATTATATTTAATATTATTATTTTCACAAAAAAATAAATAAATTTTATTCTTTGATATTTATTATGAATTAATAATCTTTATAAGCTTTATTCTTAATTAATAATTAATAATTTATTATAATTATCTGTTAATTTAGTCAATTATTATTTATCACGTGAATTTTTATATAATCTGAATCCAGATTGAATTCAAAATTAAATAATACTATCTGACTTTAATAAATTTCTTTTAAGATTTTGATCAATTAAATTATAAGCTAATCATTATTTTTATTAATATACATAATTACACATGAAATTTAGTTAATCAGAATGCTCTTCTAATACTAAAAATTCACTCTATTTACTATTGATTTCTATTTAAGTATCTACAGAAAAAATTTAACTATATAATAAATTTCTAAAACATTTTTTATAAAAAATACATTAGTTTATAAATCTTATTAAAGACTATTTTATAATGCATTTTTTTTATTATTATGTTTTTATTTGTAAAGTCTTTACATTTTAAAGTATTGGATGTCTTTAGAGGGCCTGCACCATAATAAATTAACTTGTTTAGTGAGAAAACACCTAGTAAAAATCTTCTAGTACTAGTTTAGTAGCAATGTTCATACTCTGAAGCTCTTGAATCAACAATTTTGTAGCATATGGTATTTGTAAGTTCACCACATGCTTGCTAGATTTACAATGTTGACACCATCGTGCTTGACCCAACAATCCACAATTTTCACAAACATGTACTTCAAACGCATCTGATGACAACATCAGTCGTTCCATTAGTAACATGCTTGCACCATAACTGACTAGACAATCACGTTCCATCTCGCCAAGACGTAGACCACCCTCACGTGCACGGCCTTCAGTGGGTTGTCTGGTGAGGGTTGCACGAGGACCTCTGGAGATCACGTAAAATTAAAAATAAGCTTCTATAATAGAAAAGTTAATGAGTGTAAATTCGTACCTTGAACGTGCATGCATTTTGTCTACAACCATGTGTTTTAGTTTTTGATAATAGACAGGCCCGAAGAATATATATGCTTGCAATGGTTCTCCCGTAATCCCTGTACAAAAGACAAATATTTTTATTATCAGCTGCATGATTATTTTGTTATTTCGCGATTATTTTGTCGTTATGAAAAATACCAGATGTGAGATAATCTTTTCCGGAATAACTGAATCCGTTCTCAATAAGAATTTTGCTCATGTCCTCGACTTTACTTCCATTGAATGCGGTGCCATACTGAAATTCTCCTTTAAGAATGCTTGCTTTGCCTGCCAACAACTCGATCATTTTCCCAACAGTCATACGAGACGGAAATCCGTGCGGATTCATAATTATATCAGGACAAATTCCCTGATCAGTAAACGGAAGATCTTCTTGAGGCACAATAATGCCGCATACACCTTTTTGTCCATGACGCGAAGAAAATTTATCCCCAATTTCAGGTACACGCGTTTGTCGTACTAGTACTTTAATAAGTGTCTGCTCACTTTCAGTAGTTGTCATGATAACCTAAAATCAATATAAACATTATTAATATTTGAAATTTAATAAAAAAGAAAATTGAAAAAGAATTATAGTTCGAACCTTATCAATGTATGAGGGTTCGGGAAACTTGTATGAAGTAGGTGTTGATTTGTATGAACTAGCTTGACCATCAGTATTGGTAACTGCCGCGATATTATCATTAAGATTGGTTGGCGACTGCTTGTTAATCAACACCTGTCTATCAAATACTCTTTCACCGACTGCAGCTATTCCATCCATATCGAGAATATCAAATTTATTATAGCTATTCCCGGGTTTTTTCGGCGGCGGGTCAGCAAGACGATCATAACTACAGAAAATATTATAGCAAATTGAAAACAAAAATAAAAAAGATTACAAAGGGCAAATTTCTTACCTTCCATTCGAATATTTTTTGAGAACACAGGGATATTTACGCAACATCTGACAACGACCAAATCCACGATCTACCGATGCCTTTATATCGTAATACTAAATTAGATCTATACTATGAACACATGAGGTCAAAAGAATGTGAGCTCACATACTCTATTAAGAACTAGTGCATCTTCAATATCGTATCCGGAATAACTCATAACTGCTACTATAGCGTTTTGTCCAGCAGGTAACTTTTGTTTTAATAGTAAATAAATTAATTGATGCACGAATCGAAAATAATATCAAGATAATGACGAGGAAAAACTCACTTTATCATATTGAACAAGTTCGATGGTTTTCGTCTTTACGAGGGGGACTTGAGGATACACCATCAGATAAAGTAGTGTATCAAATCTTTCGAATTGATTATATGCTATAGCACCAATGGCTTGTTTACCCATAGCACATTGATATCTGTTTTTTAGCGAATCAATATTAATTATTATAAGTAGTTAAAGAAAAATCTCGATAATAAATAAAAAAACGTATGATATTTACGTGTTTCTTGGACTTTGATTATGATGAGGATAGGGAATTAACCCCGCAACAGCACCCAAAATAGTGAAAGGTTCTATTTCAAGATGTGTAGTTTCGTCAATAATCTCACGCTCATAAATGGCAATCAACGAATCATTTTCCTCATTGACATCCAAATATTCAATAAGCCCTTTTCTTAGGAAATAATTGAAGTCACAGCGGCCTTGTTTAAGCATCTGCATAATAAAACAAGATAGACGGAATGAGCATTTTCCAAATAAGCAAGGTTCATAATGCAGCCAAACAAACCTTAATATGTTTTTGCGTGACTTTGGGTTTTTTATTTTCCACGATTATTAACGGCCGACAAACACGTCCCCCATCCGAAGCAATGTAAATGGTTTTTTGGTGATGATTTGTGTATATACTCACAAATTCTGATATACCACCATGTCGACGTATTTTTCGGAAATTTTTGACAAATGTGGCGGCTTGACGGGTAATTCCAAGCACGATACCGTTCAAGAAAATGACATAGGCCTTTCTTGCATAAATTTCAGCGCCAGTAGAAAGATTAATATCTAGATGTAAACAGGATATCAGAAAAACAATATTAATTCATTTTTTCTAATTTTATTAAAACATTTTATATAATGGTCATAAAAGAATAAACAAACCTTCGACAAGTCCAAGATTAAAGACAAAGTTTGCTAAAGGACCTTCCTCATCATCCGTTGTGATATGAGTCATCAATGCAAGGTTCTTTACTAGACCACATGCTTCACCTTCTGGTGTGTCAGCCGGGCACAACATACCCCATTGCGACGGTTGCAATGCTCGAGGACCACTAATTTTTCGGGTTTTCTCGAATTGTGAGGTGATTCTTGTCATCATACCGAGTGTTGAGATATAGCTTAGGCGACTTAAAACATGCGTCACGCCAGCTCTGTCCATCTTGAAGCGTTTTACTGTCCAATTTCCTGTGGATATTGCCCGAATGAAACCATTTGTGATATGATCGCTATGATATTTCACATAGTTTACTGCATCAAATTCTTGTGCTCTATTCGGTTTCCTTAATACTTTGTCGATGTTAGTTTTCACTTCGGAATTAAATTTTTTGAATAAATCTTCGAATAATAAAGATAATAAAGATCCTGCCCTAATTTAAAAAAATTAAGAAAATAGTTATTACACGGTTTATATTCGTAAAACATTCTTGATCTCAAGAAAAAGAATAACCACTCGCAATTCCAATCTTTTATTCCCAACATAGTCCCGATCATCAACCAGCTTTGGGTTAGCAATAGCCATCAATACTCGTCTCACCATAAAAGAAATATAGATACACTTTGACCGGAAATTAAGGTCTATAACCGGTACATGTGCCAAGACTGTTGTCGCTAGAATTTCGAGTGCCTCATCGATAATCGGATTCTTTAATGACGCGTTTTTTCGTGTCACTTTGATTGATTTTCCGATGTATTCGAGCGCTTGGTTCTGTGTGAAGATTTTTAGGCTAGCACATTCTTCGATATTTGGAGCAAACGTGTTTAAAAAGGTTTCGTTGTCCCCGCACACGAGAAGTGCTATTTCCTTATCACATAACATTCCCATTGCCTATACAAATACAAAAATACATTATAAAAATCAACTCATACCATAATATCAAAAAAATCACGCAATTTTCATACCTTTAATGCAACCACAATAGGCACATCATTAGATATCGAATTATGTTTAAGATAAATCTTATCGTGTTTGGAGACTACATATGTTTTACTTTTTCGCTCATGTGTTGAACTAGTAAGAAAATTCGAAAGTCACAATCAATCATCCGGTAAAATAATATACTAAATAAGTTCATTAAAATTAGTTACCTTGTAACATAAGCCTGGACGGCGCCCTTTTTTTCACTTTCCACAATTATCCGATTCTTAGAAAGTTGTTCTTGTATCAAAATAACTTTCTCGGTTCCTTTCACAATAAAATAACCACCTATATATATATATATATTATGCGATCAAAAGACGTATATTTTCGTTCAATACTAGTCATATAAACACATTTGGCATATAAGCTCAAATTTCTATCAGTGATGAAACAAATAAATTACCAGGATCCAGTGGACACTCGTGCATTCTAGCCAACTCTGTTTCATTTTTACCATACAGAATACAATGTGAGCTACGAAGCATGATCGGTAGCTGTCCAATTCGTATATTTCGCTGTAATACACGAGCATTGCCTCTCACGTATTCTACATCCACAAAAATCGGTGCGCTATAGGTTAAATCACGTAATCGACATTCTTGTGGAGTGTACATTCTGTGTTGATCCAAGAGGTCGGGTCGCTCTGGGTAACCTACTGAAATTTTTACAAATCTTTTTCGATTTGCAGTTATTATTAGTTTTAATTCTGAGAATTTCAAATTGACAAAAAGTCGCAAAAATACAAACTTACATAGTTAAATGGAGATATATATATATATAATAAATATAGCTTTAAAAAAACCTACTTTAACCAAAACCTTGGATCAACATCAGATTTCACCCATTTGTTCGCTTCTACTATTTTCTGAAGGTCGATGTTTACAAAGTAATTAAAAGAGTCAATGTGTTGCTTCACGAGACCTTTAACTTTCAAAAAAGCTGGCAAGAGTTCCCATTTATCCTATATAAATTTCATTGATCACCAGTGTTAGTTGAAAGATTCATATAATTTTGCTTTTCGAGTAATTTCTTGTAATTAAGTACCTCAACAGTTGGAATCGGATCCGTCAAGCCTTTCCCTTTGGGCGAAGGTGATATGAGACTCGCAAACGCGTCAACGGCCATTATTACTATTATTGATTCCTTTACAATCCCTTTACCCAGCTATTATCAAGAAATTAGTAAATTTAAATTATGAATGTCGATCAAATAATCACCAAAATATAAATATAAATTGGATTACATTTGATGAGAATCGTGCGCGTCTTTTGCGAGAATAATAATTATACATAATAAAAATGAGTAAGAGTGTTGATATTAGAAATTACTTTGGAAAAAAATCAACTGAGAGTCCTGCCAAAAGTTCAACACCACGAAAACGTCGAATAATTGGTTAGAATTTATATAGAATTTAAATACTTTACTATTTCATTCATTATCACCTTTATTTGTCACTAATTTGATCAATTGTAGAGGAAGACGACGACGACGACGATTTTGTACCAAGGTTTTTATCAGCTTACACGGTTTTGAATTAATTCATGATTAGTAATAACTTCAATACATTGTCAGTGAGAAATCCGATAAAAATGAGGAAAACACGTCGACGCGTCGTCGTCGACGAACAAATGATGAACAAAATGTGAAACCCGCTGTAAAACGTGGTGCCAAAAGGAAGAATGAGGAGACAATTGTTGAGGGCGCGAAAAAAGCAAAGAAGAAGGGAAAATCGGAGGATATACCGACTGAAAAGGAAGGATTAGAGGTGAGGCCGAAAGTCGATAAATCTACAGGTTTAAAAAAAAATGATGTCACATCATTTCTATCCTTATGATAGGGAAAGACATTCGTATTTACTGGCGATCTTTCTATTGAACGTGAGGAAGCACAAAATAAGGTTAAACGTTATGGCGGGTAGGTATTTGAGATGAATTTTTTGATGTTATATTTTTTTTCAACTTATCACTTCTAATCAAAATTTAATAATCTACATGGTAATAGACGTGTGACAACTGCACCAAGCTCGAGGACAACCTATCTCGTAGTAGGTGACGATCCGGGACCCAAAAAAGTCGAGAAAGCCAAAGAACTCGGTATTTCAACTCTAAATGAGGAAGAATTTTTTGATTTGATCAAAAGCATAGAAAAAAAGAAAGCCGAATCTACTGCTAATGATAATGAAGAAGAAACTGAAGATAAATCATTCAATAATGAGACAATGATCGCTTCCCCATCATCATCAACTAATGAAAGTGGAGTTATAAGCTCTCCATCCATAGTCGAGTAAGCAATTATATTTAGTTTTTTTTAAATATATACTATTAAATATATTCTTTGTTAATATGTAGATCGAAATTATGGGTGGATAAATACAAACCGAAAACATTAGCTGAATTGTGTGGTAATAAAATTCCAATCGAAAAACTTCAAAAGTTTCTTCGTGATTGGTAAGTTACTGTTTTTTTTTGTTTTGGGCAGAAAGGTATTAACTCGAAGAATATAAAATTGAATGATAAATTATGGTTTTATATAGGGATCAGAATCTAAAGAGAAACTTTCCGAGCGGTGGTAAAGATGATTTGAGTGGGTATAGGGCAGTTTTAATTTCTGGTACACCTGGCATCGGAAAGGTAAGATTGCGCTCGCCCTTCAATATATAACGTCGAAATTTTAATACTACTTTGTTTATTTTGATTTTTAATTAAAGACAACTGCCGCTCATTTGGTCGGCGAACTTGAGGGATACGATATCGCAGAGTACAACGCCAGTGATACCAGGTCTAAGAAATCCCTGGAGGTATAAGATCAATACTATAATTTTTTTTGCATTCGATAAACTTCTTGTTTGCTTGCTTACGAAATTACTATTATTGATTTTTTTATTTCGTAGGCTGTTGTAAAAATTGCAACAACCAATACGTCAATCACCAGTTTTTATCGTCAAACTCCAAGTGACAGTAAAGACTCTGATGTAAAGAAATTTACTTTAGATACTAATGTATTATTATTTTCGATTTGAAAATATTTTTTTGGTTATGTAACACGATATTTAGACTACCAAGCATGGTCGTGCTCTTATAATCATGGATGAAGTGGATGGAATGTCGGTTGGCGATCGTGGTGGAATAGTCGAGTTAATGTCGTTAATTAAGAAGACTCAAGTAAGTAATTTTAATATTGTCATGATTTTATTAATATAGCTAATGTTTATGTTTTAATAGGTACCGATCATTTGTATTTGTAATGATCGGGCTTCTGCTAAAATCAGAAGTTTAGTAAGTTCTCCCTTAGTCTATGATTTGCGATTCCAAAGGTGAATTCTTATTTTTTGTATTTTTATTTATAAGATTACTGCGTTTTTTTTTACCATTTATTTATTTTATATTTACATTTTTATTAGACCTCGAGTTGAACAGATCAGAAGCCGCATCCTGTCTATCGCTTTTCAGTAAGTCAGTTTGATACATATATTTTATAAGAGAGCGCGCATATTTTATAGGTTATTATTATTGTTTACCACTTTTTGATGCTCTTACAGAGAAAATCTTAAACTTACTGCTCCTGTCGTGGACGAGTTGGTCCGTAACTCACATACTGACATCCGTCAAGTACTGAACATGATGTCTTCATATAAACTCACGAATAATTCGATGGACTATGATCAAGGACTGGAATTGTAGGCTGGAATCTTTATATATTTTGATACTTTGTTTACTGATAAGAAAAAATAATGTTCAATTTTTCTTAAATAAAGAGCAAAAGCTTCGGAAAAAAATGACGTCATGAATCCATGGGATGTCACTAGTAAATACTTCAATCCACATTCATGGAAAGAAAAAGGAGGCATGAATCTGAACGAAAAAATTGAATTGTATTTCCATGATTCTTATATTATTCCGCTGATGATTCAGGTAAGCAATGTACGCATGAAGTTACTAAACTGAATTTTGGTCTAACCGACTGTTCCTATTTTTTTTTGTAATTTATGTTGTACTTGATTAAACAGGAAAATTATATAAAAACGAAACCGACTCGTGCCACTGATCTAGCTAACGAAACCAGTCAAAGTATTGACCTTGCAACGCTAGAATTGCGAAGCAAAGCTGCTGATGCTATTTGTTTTTCGGACAGGGTAAATGCGAATATACTCGGGTATATAACATTTGTTCGTTTTTTTTTTGGCGAAGTTTTCGAAATATATAACAATGTAATGACAGATTCACTTTTTAGCACTCAACAAAATTGGAGTTTGATGCCATTCCATGCGATCATGTCGTGTGTAACACCCGCATCTTATATTCATGGTTCAATGTCCGCTCAAAGCTATCATGGCGGTAGTCCAATCGCGTTCCCAAGGTAATACTTGAATAAACGATCTTTTTCTTAAAAAAATTGTTTAGTTTTCTAATTGCTATATACGAATAATTATATTTTTATGATGTAGCTGGTTAGGTAACTACTCGAAAACAAATAAATATCAACGAAGGCTTCAAGAAATACAAAGTCATATGCGACCAAGGATATCAGGTGACAAAAATGAAGTTAGGCAGAGTTACATTCCTGCTTTGATTCCTGCCTTGACAAAACCATTGATTGATTACGGAAATGTATGTATTTTTATGCATTGTAAAAATTTGAATATTTTTATACAATTATTTATCTTGAGCTGATCTGCAAAAAAAAGGATGGAATACCGGAAGTGATAGAAAAAATGGACGAATACTTCTTAACCAAGGAGGATTGGGACGTGATGCTTGAAATGGGACTTGCACATAATGATGGCGATAAAATATTGAAGAAGATTTCTTCCGCTGTCAAATCAGCCTTCACACGAAAGTAAGTACAACCAAACAAACGCGTATGATAAATATTTTTTATTACTATTTAATGAATCAATTCCCGCATGCACAGATATAATAGCACCTCTCATCCAACTCCATACACGCGAGGCAATGTATCAGCCAAGGCAGCAAAAGCCATTCCCTCCTCGAAAGAAGTTCCCGATATCGAAGAAGCAATTGAAGTCGATGAAATTCTTGAAGAAGAGGAGAGCGTATCATCGAACGAAGATGATTTAACGCAAGATAAAAACATCAAGAAGAAAAGTGGAACTGGGAAGGGCAGAGCTGCTGCTAGTAGCTCAAAGAAGACCGCGACCGCTTCGGGATCTAGAGGTGCACGTGGTGCGGGATCGAGAGGGGGGAGGGGAAGCCGAGGTGGTGGTCGTGGTAGGGGCAAAAAATAGAATATAATGAATTATATAACTCGTTCAGTTATAACCTCTGTTGGATTTATGTTTGTATTTCATAATTTTAAGTTTTTATGTTATATCATACATAACATTATATATATAATCATTGAGATAATATCCCGACCAACTTGATCCTTATAATTAATGGTATCATGTACTCTCACATGTATCGGGGAAACTCTTAATTTGTATTCAGGTTACTACTATTATTATAATGAATGGTATATCGTCGTCTTTTAGTTAATACTAGTAATCTAACTTTAGATATCTTTTGAATTACGAACATAAATGTGATGATAATGTAATTTATTGTCTTAGCTTGGATCTGAATGGTATCAATAAAGAAAACATATATATGCTATCATATAATAAAATAATATGGCCTGAAAAAAAACGTATCGTCTGAATTGTTATTACTATTCAACTTATTCATTATTCTTTAACTCTTGAAACCCAACACTTCAAATTCGGCTTCGGTCTCCACGTAATTCTCAACTCTTTTTTCACATTAAATCCTTCAATCTCGCGAAACTCAAAATTCCTTATTAGCATCGCCAAGAACACTTTGAACTCGCTAAGCGCAATCTTTTGCCCAATACATGACCGAGAACCAGCCAAAAATGGCAAGTAATTGAAATTTGAGAGTTTTTCGGCGAGTTTAGGATCAAGCCATCGTGACGGAACGAATTCTTCTGCGTCCGGGCCCCAGAAAGAGGATAATCGATGCATGGCGACTATTGGTATGAATACTGGAGTGTCTTTTGGGATGAAGTAACCGTTTAGTGTGTCGTTCTTTGAAGAGACTCGTAATGCAACTGGTACTGGAGGTATTATTCTCAATGTTTCCTTCAATTACAAAAAAATGATTCAGAAAACAAGTTAAGGTGTCTCATTCTGTTTTCACAAGAAATCAATCACCTTTACAACACAATTCAGATATTCTAATGAATTTATTGTGTCAAAATTGGGAACGAAATCTGTGTCTGGAAAATGTTCAATGATTTCTTTACGTAAGGTATCTTGTGCATCACGATTTTTCGAGAGTAGCCAAATAGCCCATGTAACAGCGACAGAGGTAGTTTCATGACCAGCTGCCAGGAATGTCATAATCTGTTGTTGTAATTCAACATCAGACATCTTCGCCTCCTCGTTTTGTTGTTGCTCATTGACCTTGATCAATGACGTCAACAGATCGTTTCCTTTCAGCTCCCCTCTGATTGCCGCCTCTTTTCGTTCTTTTACCAGACGCATCGAGACTTTATCTTAAATGTGGAACACAGCGAAGCATATTCTTTAATATTAATAAATTGGCAGGAAATATCGTAATAAAATAAATTTTAATTACAAACCAATAATTTTCGAGGCTTTTTGAGTCTCACGATTTGATCTTATAGGAAGTTTCCGGAATATCGGGAAATGATTCGATAGTATCCTGAAAAACATGTTTGGAATGTTTTCCGTGCCGAAGGCCATTTTGTAGGCGCTTGTTAATTCGTCGTTTCCGGTTAACGCGTTTAATTGGTAATCAAAGCCTAATTCAATAAATATAAAAACTTAAAACGTTTTTGATGAGGGAAATTTAAATGATCACCAACCAATTAAGCCAATAACATCTAACGTGGCTTTCGACATGAAAGACATGATATCAATCTGTATCTCTTTTCCATCCTTATTATTTTCCAATAATTCGATCCACAGTTTTTTTAAAGTATGTAATGGTTTTGCAAATATCGGGATCATTTCCTAAGTTTTCCGTTATTGATCTGCATCAATGCCCAAAAATTGTGATCCAGTATAGGTAAATACCAAATAACTCACAAACCTTTATATTGGCAAACGCAAACACAGGAGTCATCAACTTTCGTTGCCGCTTATGAACATCACCTTCCGCCACCAACAATCCATTTCCCAAGATCGGTAACAAATATGACACGAGAGACGACGGTTTCGGGTACTCGTAGACATTATTCACTAATATATGTTGCACTAATTTTGGGTCGGATACTAGTATACGCGGAAGGTTGAAAAATCCGTAATATTTTAGTAGTCCACCATATTTTTCTGTCCATTGAAGCTGTATTGCGCCGTACTGAAATGGATCAATTTTCAGTTGATTATCCATATATACATGTATTGCTTTATTGATCTTTAATCACCTCCGCTCTATGCAATCTTAACAAGTTTCCCATTAGAGGCACGTCAATGGGTGGCCCAGGAAGTTTTCGAAGAGGTGATAAGTATAATGGATAAAGATACCATTTGTAAGTGAAGTATCCAGCAATAATGCTACAAATCAAAACAAAGAATTCATGAAAGCTAATCATTTCTTTGGGTGGTTAAGGTAATATCGATATTGATATCATCATTTATCGACGTCGATCAGGCAAAAAATTCGTGTGACTGTATATATTTAGATAACTACGCGCGTAAAACGTGGCAAGGAGATAATTTTCCGACACGTCATTTAATATGTTCGGCTTAAATATATAGCCAAGGATTCTGAGTGGAATTATAAAAGTGAATTATCTACTCTCGATAGAGAAGATATCATTGAGAGAAAAAAGATCGCTGGTATGGCTGGTATGTTTAAGTAAATGAATGCGAATCATATGTTACGCAAATGTCTAATCTTTTTTCTAAAAAGAACCTCGTGCTCGAAAACAGGACTTTGAATGTGTGCTAATAGTACAAAAACCATGGTTACATCGCTTGAAATCACGCTGGAAAGCACGGCAAGAACATCGTAGATCACTGGGTTTTTCGGAACTTGCCGTTGGTGGATTTAGAGTTCTAACTGACTGTAACGAAATGATCACTGGTTCTCTAGGTCTCGATGAGATAGAAGAAAAAAGGTGAACTTTTTTTTCCTAAATGAATAGTGTATCCCTTTTTTTAGAATCTGAAATATTTTTATCTCGCAAGCAAACATATTAAAGTCTGATTTATCCGATAAAATAGCAATAATAGAATACAAATGCCATCTTTTACGCAGGAAACTAATGAAGACGAAGATGAAGACGAAGATGAAGGCGAAGATGAAGACGAAGACGAAGATGAAGATGAAGAAGAAGATGAAGATGAAGATGAAGATGGAAATGACGGTGACATTGAGCAAGAAACGGAGGAGGAGGAGGAAGAGAATGAGAATAACGATCTTCCTACTCCTCACCTTTCTTTTGCTTCGCTTAACCACGCTCCACTTAACAATATCAACGAAAATTCAGTTATTGTTGAGATAAAGAATAAATATTTTATGCCATCACCAAATGCAATACTTGATTCACCGACTATCGTCCAGGTCAACGATGATTTTGAGTACGACACAGAATTTTGGGAAACCGAGGAAGAAATCGAACAGATGTCCTCGAAGAATATTGTGAATATTAAAGATTGTAACAACCAAAAGGTTAACCTTCAATTTCTTCAGGTGGACGACGACGATTGTTGGATGACAGAAGAAGAAATTGAGGTGGTGGAATTATCATCCACCTGTTTGCGTAATTTTACGACAAATAAAATTAATTATGCTTGATATTTTGATGAGTTCCTTTTTTTGGTTGGTAATAATGAGTTGTATTTTTCTATATACATTGTATTATACATTAGTCATTGCAAATAGAGAGAAATATCAAAAGCTGATAATGGCGTGAATGATAATATCTCGTAATTTATAATTTTCACGCGAGATGAAAGGTTTTATTTATTGCACCAGTAAAAATAAATTCCTATTAGAGCGTAAAACAAAAACTCCTTTTTCGAAAAAATAAATTAATTTATGTCCCATAAATGGCATTCAATTCTTGAACGATTTCGATGCATACCGATACTTGACTTTTTTCTTTTTTTTATCACTAGCTTAAACTGAATAAGGAAATGATCCGCCATTACAATGATTATGTTTAGTTACACATTGGTGTAAAAAAATTCAAACAATGAGATGTTTCGACTATTAAAATGTATATGGCCGAACAATAAAAAATAAGATAAAAATAACGATAACGATAAGATAAAAATAAGAGCGAGGTAAATGACGAAAATGTAAAACTGTATGTGCATGCATATACAGTGCACGCATATTTGTTATGGACTGCATTTGTCTAATAAATAGAGAACTAGTCGCATATTTGTGGAGGCTTTGCTTGCTTGCCTGCCACTTCATTTTTTTCGTCGTTTTTTTTAATTACTTTAATTTTCATTTTCACGAGTTGCTCTTGTCATCGTCGTTCTTTTTCTCCCTCTATTAATTAATTAATTCATTAATTAATCAGTCTCTTCTCTCTTCCTCGCTCTCCTTACAATTCTTATTAATCGACTTTTATTCGAATTAATAGCATTTATCCATTATTATCTTAGTTCAATTCAGCTACGTCGTTTAACTTTATTTCTTACAACGATCACCTTTTTTTTTTAATCTTTACGTACGTATCATTTGACAACATCATTTGAACTAGAGGGAGAGAAAATTTGTCCCATCAATTGGTCCGGAGAAGAGAATAATTTTATTAACCACTGGCTGACTGGTCGGTCATATCTCATAACAATAACAATAATCGATTCCCTCCCTCCATCTGTCAATATCCATAAAAATGATCTCACCATTAAGAAAACAAATTCATTGGGTCCTCTTTATCATCCTCATCCTCATCACTTTAACAACACACCGCGCAAGTGCTGCACCAATAACACCAACTAAATCTGCGAATATAACATCAACTTCGGACATAGAAGTGAACAACAAATCGATACCTTTTTATAATATAACCACCAACACCACATCCGACATCGCACCCGACACAGGATCCACCGATAATGACAATAAAAACGGGGACGTGGACCCAGAATACAGTAAAAAAGGCGCACACTGGCTTTTCGGCATTTCTTTCGCAGTAATGCAATTTAACGCAATCGGTTCAATTTACATCGTGTATCGCACCTTTCGAAAATGGCAAGCTCATAGCTATGCACGAAATAGTCTATCTATGGCTCTCAGAGTTCCTTTCTACATCGCTATTACGGATCTTTGTCTGTATATCGCGCATATATTCAATCAAGGATACACGTTGTTGAATGATCGAACTTGGCCGGGGTTGTCGTGCAAAATTGTCGGTGGAACGGTCTTCTTTTTGGTGGCTGTTAATATGACCTTGGGTAAGTTCTCAGTACTCCTATATCATCGCATTTTGTCTTTATGAATTTTTGAAATGAATCTCTAATAAAAAATATTAAATCGACTTATAGTGGGTGTAATCGCTCTGTCTACTTATCTAAGAGGTAATTATTTCTATTCGTATGATTCCTTAGCTAATACTTTACCAAAAAAAAAAATAATAAAACTTATCAAAATAATCCATTTAATCATTTAGTTTGTCGTCGAATAGTATTCGACTTTGGACCATTCGACCGTAATCTATTTTACATTGTTCTTGGATTTCCATTCGTATTGACACTGGGAAGCATCCCGTCCTTCGGTCCAAGCATTTATTGGTGCTACACAAACAAATCAAATCACATTGTCTCAATAATCACCTTAATTCTAAACTTTACCGTAATTGCTCTCAACATATTCTGCTACTATTTTACGCTACGTGAGATAAATATCTCGGGTAAAGGATTCGTCAATGTTAACTTGAACCAAAACAAAACCTGTGACAGCAACAACAACAACAAAGACAAAGATAACAGTAAAAGCAACGCGAAAGCCGCAAGCATTGAAAGAAAAGTCACCCAAAAAATCGCAGGCTATATCCTCATGTTTATAATACAATGGACGCCTGCAATGCCGTATGTTATCGCGTCGGTGGTGATTACTTCACCGCCTGTGGCATTGTATCTTCTTTGCGATATTGCGATAAACCTCGGGGGTATAGGGAACGGTATACAGTATGTTCTTAATGAGGGATGGAGTCTGCAGAAAGACGATGTAGAATCGAAACATAATGAACGATCGTTTACTGCCATCTCGCCTTTGCCGAGTGCTCGATCACAATTCAAGTTCCCTTTTAATCAGGAGGCTTCTATCGCTAGTTTTGCTGCGATTCAAGAAGAATGATTGTTAGATTTTCCCTGCTGTCCCTGAATCTATTACTCCAGTGAAAAAAAAAAATAGTAATACATATGCAATTCGATAGTAAAAAAAGGGGGAGACGACGAACAAGCAACAAGCCATCAATCATTTTATCCGTCGAAAATTGCATGTAAAAAAAAAAAAAAAGGGAATACGTTGAGAGCTATCATTATTATTGTCGTGGGAGGGAAAATTGTACTTTTATAAAATTATTATCGTTATTGTTATTGTTATATACTAATTAATTTATATACATGTATTATTTCATAGATTGAATATATTAATATATCAAAAATGTTGCTCTTTAAGGTCCGCGATTACTATTATCGTTATTATTGAAATTTGGTTTGGGATAAATAAATCGTTATAGAATTACTAATAAACTCCTGAAAGGTGAAAATCATACCATAATAATAAATACCGTATTTCGCATTCATGAATACCCCCCTTTTTTTGCATTACCCGTGTATTCATTAACGTTAATGCGAAATACGGTATTTAGCTTCAATTTGGATAATTCTTCCAAGCAGTGTTTTTGAGAACTTGTGATTTTAGGTTCTCAAAAAAATTTTTAATGTCCCCAGCAATATACCAAAGTTTAATCCTAATTTGATCGATTTGTATTACGCAGTTTATTAATAAAGATTTTCAATGTTCTCGAGAACATTAGATTTCTAACACTGCCCCGAGCGAATCAAATGAATGTAACAACGCAATTTATAAAAATTAATAATAATATATATTTATTTATTTACTTCAAAAAATTACCGAAGAGCTTTTTAATTCTGTTTATCATCCCCTCCAACAGCAGACAACAAACTTCTAATCGACAACAACGCAAAGAAAGATGACCAAATAAAAATGACGGCAGTTTTCCATGCGGCAGGTTGCGGTAAGTAGATTCGTTTCTGGGGTAATACGCTAGCACAGTGTGTATCCAAGTAGACGTATAATACATAAAGTGGGAATGTTATCGTGTATGAGATGTTGAATAACAAGTCACTGTATATATTTATGCGAAAATTTTACAATGTTATTTTTAATGTTTATCGTTATTTTTATAATAGAAAAGAATAAAAAGAATAAACAAAAAATGCTTACGCGGTAGCACTTTCAGGTAGAATTGTGTTCGACAAGTTGCCTAATACATGTACCAAAGAAGCGGCAACCAAAAGTAACAATTGTTTAGGGTGTTCTATTAATACGGGTTTCGATGCTTCTTCATTGCTTCCACCGACGTTTTCGTATTCTTCAATGTTTAATGGGAGTTGTTCCCCAACTTCTTCTCCAATATGTTTACGCGTGTTCAAATAGATGCGCGTATAGAAAATGACTAGTGCAAAGTCGGCAATAAGACCTAGGTTTATTTGATGATTTAGATTAAATAAAAGTGTTTAATTTGAAACTTAAAGGTAATTAAAGGATATAATTGAAATTTTTACCTTGAAATTTAAAAAATACTGCGTCAAAAGGCCAATTCAAGAACAAAACAATGGAATTAACACCAAGAAAATATGTTCCAAGTCCAAGTACATAACGGGTCACACTTTTGATCTCTCCGCTTTGATTCAACAACGTCAAAATTGCTACTTCCCACAAGTTATGCCAGAGACCGAATGCTTCCCACAATTTCCCAATATCAAATGCTATAAGAGCCAACGCGGCAAGGGCTGTGAACAACGCATAGAATGCGAGTAATCGATTAAAAGTGGTGGTTCGTGTCTTACTAATGCCGTCACTAAAATACGATACAACTTTTTTTGGAATATTTGCAGTGTTGTTTGCCCATTTGAATGCGTATACTGCTGCAAAAGTTTGTAGGACAAAAGAGAACGTGAATATCGAGTATCGTCTATTTTGATCGTAGTCTGTTGGTCCATGCCACGTTGGTAATCCAGTACTATCTGATGGTACTTGAGTGGGAAGTTTTCCAGGTTTTGGAAAGGTGACTACTAATACAGCGAGCGCTAATAGTGATATAGTAACCGCAAGAAATCCGCCAAATGACATTTCTTTTTTTAATTTTGTCTTTAGTCTTTGTTAATTGATTGATTTTTTACTCTGAAAGAATTGAACAAGAACATACGATATTCTCATCGGTTTTATACGTATTTTTGTATGTGAGCCATTAACAAAATTTGGTTACGCTTCGGTAAAGAGAACACTTTTTTTTACAAAAAAGGTAAAAGTTCAATGCTATTTTTAATGTTGACATAAACATTATTTATTGTGAGGTACATTTTTGTAAACGGCTTGTTGCTACAAGCGGGCCGCTGTTAAATTACAAGCACAAAAGGTTTCATTGTGAATTGATTGAGATCTTCACAAGACTTTGATTCAGGTTACCATAAATGACATAGGTAACCCTAATAGTACATCTAAGAACATAGTTCCTTTCGTATGATCACATTGTTTTCAAATGATTACATGGGAAGATTTTCACTATCGCTATTCCTCTATCATCAAACTAGTCACAGAGCATAGGAGACATATTTATTTATCTCCATACGAAAGTCTAATCGCCAATAATGACAAGAAGAACGACCAAATAATAATGACGGCAGTTTTCCATGCGACAGGTTTCGGCAAATAAATTCGTTTCTGGGATACCCGTGTGTATCCAAGTAGACATATAGTACAAAAAGCGGGAATGTTATCGTGTATGAGATGTGGAATATTAAGTTCCTACATATTGACGCGGAAAATTTGTTATTGATTATTTGATTATTTTGGTTTTCATTTCTTTAATAGAAGGAAAAAGTACTTACGCATTATCACTTTTAGGATTAAGTGTGTGCGCCAAGTTACCTAATATATGTACAAAAGTAGCGGCAACCAAAAGTAACAATTGCTTAGGATGTTCTATTAATATGGGTTTCGATGCTTCTTCATGCCTTCCGCCGCCGTTTTCGGATTCCTCACTATCTAATGGGAGGCGTGCTTCAGCTTCTTCTCTGTCGCGTTTACGTGTGTTCAAATAAATACGCGTGTAAAAAATGAATTGTAAAAAGTCGATAACAAGACCTTAATTATTTTTAAATGCAATATCAATTAGTTAGCACTCATGCAATGATAATTAGATTGAATAGGATAAAGATTTTTACCTTGAAATTTAAAAAATACTGCATCTAAAGGCCAATTCAAGAACAAAATAATGGTATTGGTACCAATAAAATAAATTCCAAGTCCAAGCACATAACGCGACACACTCTTTATCTTTCCGCCTTGATTCAACAACGTCAAAATTGCCATTTCCCACAGATTATGCCAGAGACCAAATGCTTCCCATAATTTTCCAATATTGAATGCTAAAAGAGCCAACGCGGCAAGAGCCGTAAATAATAAATAGAATGCAAGTAACCGATTATAAGTGGTAGTTCGTGTCTTATCAATGCCTTCACTAAAATACGAAATAACTTTTCGTGGAATATTTGCAGTGTTGTTTGTCCATTTGAATACATATATCGCACCGAACATTTGGAGGAGAAAAGAAAACGTGACTATCGAATATAGTCTATTTTGATCGATATCTGTTCCGTGCTGCCATGATGGTAATCCAGTACTTCCTGATGGTACTTGAGCTGGAATTTTTCCGGGTTTTGGAAAGGTAACTACTATTGCACCTAACGCCAACAGTGATATAACAACCGCAAGAAATCCGCCAAAGGACATTATTTCTTTCATTTGTCTTTCGTCTTTGTTAATTGGTTGATTTCTTATTCTCGTTTGTATTGGGAAACATCGAAAAAGGAAGATGCCATCAGTTTTATACGTTATATTTTTGGATGATCTATTTCATAATAAAATTGCAATTCACACTATCGATATTAACTTAAAGCGTATATTATTCAGACAAAGTTTTTTAACTATCTGATTTAACAGTCACACGTATCTCCAACAAAAGCTATTTCACAAAAAAGGTAGTTACATTATTTATTGTAAAATATTTTTGCCATATTTTGCTGTATTGTCATCCACTATGATGGAAATTCCATAATTATCGATATGGTCATTATAACGATAATCTTTTTTACCACAATGATTTACATATATAAAACAGTAAAAATCGAAATAATTCTCTATCAAAATGTTCAAATTTTTTAATAAATATTGTTTATTTTTATATTAAAATAAAGATAAGAACTTAGGTCTAAAAATATATGTCAAGGTATAGTTCTTATCTTTATTTTAATTTAAGAATAAAAAATATTTATTAAAAATTTGAAAATTTTAATATAGAGGCATTATTTCGATTTTTTATTGTTTTATATATGTAAATCATTGCCGATTCCTACGGAGTGTACATGTACTATTTTTCCGGAGAAAACTTTGCGTACACGTGTACACATTGTTTATTGTGGCGAGAATTTTTCCATGGAAGTTTTAAAATTTAGGCAATTTTGAATTCACAATTGGAGAATATAATTTGTAATACTTGAGTAATACGAGTGACTTTAAATTTATTTTGATAAGATTGTGTGCATCCGTTTCCCTAATGGGTACATATGAAAGAAAAATCGATTAAGAATCAAAAAGGGGCTGCTTTTAAAAAAATGAGACGTTGAGTTTGTATAAATGATTTATAACATGGGCGCATTTTCCTTAAATTATTTCTTTAGGTTGTCATCCCACATAGGCGGCTCAATTTGTATAATATTCCTTAATAATCAGGAGTGTCGAAGGTTTTATCATGTTATCAAGGTTAGATCATATTATGTACAATCTAGAATGTATTATTATTATTCTTGTTTGTGAATGGAAGAATAATGAATTGTTTTTATATTGTCAATTCATCTTTGTGGATACATATCTATTAACAACAAAATCATAAAGTGAACACTGTTATAAATTATATCTTTTATCTAGACAGTGTGTCCAGTTTCTTTTGCAGATTTTGCAGAATCCGTATGGACTATTAATGTGATTTGTGTTTTTACATAATGATGATGTGATTTTACCATCTACATTATTAAAAAAAGAGTACATGATTACAAAATACATGTATAATCAAATTTAAAATTCGGTAACTTTGGGAAGCGATATCTCGACATCCAATGGTTCTATTTTTGTCCAAACTGGACCATTGGACGTCAAGATATCACGTCCCAAAGTTGCCGAATTTTTAATTTGATTTTGTTTTGCTGCGCAGAAATGGACACACTAATCTAGACCTTCAAAGTATATGCATGCCGTTGTCCGAATTACGTATAAAATTAGAACTTTCTTTTGGCGTATCCTATCACAGAAATTAAAAAAGAGTTTCCGCATTTATAATAGCAAATTTTTGTTAATAGCTAGTACAGTAGTTCTTGAAAGTTCCAATAATTCCAATGGATCTTTATATAAAATTTCTTTGGAAGATTCCAATAACTATATCCAATATCTCAAAAAATTGGAAACTTTCAAGAGCATCGCTGGCTAAATGGATCCATTACTGGCAATGCAGTTAGTACAAATTCTCGACAGTTCATATGATCGACAAACGAAATTCCGAATGGATAACATCCCGAATGCACGAAATCCCGTGATAATTTTGGCATACTATGCTTTCGGAATTTCGGATTTTGTTCGTTCTACGAAATCCCAATAAACATAATCCCGACATTTCATAAGCCCGACAAACGAAATCCTGAATGATCAGCATCCCGAACCAGACCCCATTTAATTAAATTACTGGTGCGAATTTTAAAATTGATTTAGTTTTTTTTTTTTTGGGAGCGCTTAATTTCCAAATGGTTCGGTATACTCTATTTAAACCTTGTAAAATAATTTGTTAATATTTTATTTAACTTAATATAAAACAATTGATTATAAATTTATTTATTAAAATTTTATTATAATTATCACTTAATCTGTAGGGCATATTGCCTGGAAATCTCTTTATATTTTAAAATATTATTACTATGTGATATTTATTTTATTTTTTATTAAATTATATTTATAACATAATAAATATCATTTAATCAAAATATTATGTTTAT